ATGTTGCTATTGTTGTTTTACAATCAAGAATAGAATTTGAGTTTTATGAAATTATCAACAACCAATCAAAAGAATAACATGTTTTTTCACTTTTGACTTGTTAAGATTATGATTATATTAGTAGATGCCACATTATTAACCCATGTTTGCTTTCTTAGCATGAATCATTTGTGATCTTGGTATAGAATGTAAGATCCATGAGAGACAGGAATTTTATCTGTTATATTTGCTGTTATATACCTAGATCCTAGAACATAGTAGAAGCTCAATAAGTATTTGGTAAATTAGTCTAATTTTTAATTTCTTCTACATTTTTCAGTAAATATTTACAAATGAGATTGTATTTTCAAAACCAAATCTAGTGAAATTAATCAATTGTACCCCTCACCCATGTAAAATGGGATAATCTGGGATTTTTCCCCAATTTATTGCAATGCTATATTTGAGATCCTGTTATCATTTTGTTTTTATTTTAACATTTTTTCTTTAAAAATTATAACCATCACAAACCATTTTTAAACTATAATTACTATAGTTCTTTAGGTGTAATTATATGTTCATCATACTTAATGCTCAATTCAGCCCTTTTATACTCAGATTTTCCCATTCTTGATCACTTGTACTTTCACTATTTTTAAAAATCTCCTGGCTGTCTGAATTACATATTTTAGTAGATTTTTCAAGAAGAGCACATGGATAAAATATTTCTCAAGACCTTGTATAATTGAAAATAACTTTCTGTTAGTTTTATACATTGGTAGCAAATTAACTGGTTATAGAATTTCCGTTTCTTGCTCATTTTTTTCCCGGCATCCTGAGGTCAACCTGATTTATATTTTTCCTTAGGTAATGTAACTCTCTTGAAGTTTAAAAGATATTTTATTCCTTTTATTTTAAATCCAATAGTTGCATTAGGCTGTATTTGGTGGATTTTTGTTCTCTTTTAAGTTTCTTGATACAGAGTGAGCCCTTCAGATTAGAATGTCTGTTATTCCTCCACAGTTTTCTTCTCTTAGGTCTTGGAATACATTTCTATTCCACTTGCAGTGCTTCTTGTCTTTAAGTATCATGTTTTGCTCTCCAGAGACTGTTCTCCCTATCATATTAATGTATTGGTGAATGCTTTCATCTTTTCTTATTTGTTCTTCATCCTGTTATTTTCTCAATCCTGTCTCCATACCACTGACTTAATATTTTCAAATATTAATTTTAGTCTTGGGAAGCTAAAGCTTTATTTTTAAATTTACACTATATTATTTTTCACTTTAATTCCTTTCCTCATCTCTACCAGCTTTCTTTCTATTTTAATCAGTTGTATAATTATCACCATATTTCTCATTCCATCAAGACTATGTTTTTCTTAATAGTGTGAATTAGTTTCAACTCAAATGTTTTTCTATTTTCTTGAATATACCTTCTTTCAAAATTTGCTCTGTTTATATTTGCACGTAATATTCCACTTATTCGTGTACTTATTTATTTTTGCCAGTTCTTACTGTGATCTTCTATTGCAGAGATTTCTTTTTACTTGTCTTTGAACAGAGCTATTGTATCTGAAACTGCTCCTTTCCTGAGTTGGTGTGGATTTCTGTTGCCCTGAGCACTGCTTGAATCTTTTCCTTGGAATATGAGCTGGAGCACTAGATTTCTTTTTCCTCCAGTCACTTAAGTGCCCAAAGGGTGTGGACAAGAAGCTGGGGTTTTCTGTAACCACAATTAGAGAATTTGTCTTTGTTCTCTTTCTCTATAATTTTTGGAAATAACTTAAAATAGCACCACTATATTGGTGACTCAGTCCCCCTGTCTCATGGAGGAAGGAGTCTGAGCTTTGAATTTAGACTTGCTCCCCTCTCAGTGTGACTAGCTGTGAAAGGTGCTGTCCTTGTCACTCTCCTTGTTTCTCACATGCTTTTCACTTGGGTTAGCCAGGCATTGATTTTCATACCCTCCTGAGCCTATGTTTGCTGCTGCTGCTGGACCAGCTCAAACAGTGAATCCTAAGAAATTGCCCCTCTATGCCTCTCATACCATCTGTCCTGCCAAAGGTTAGAGGAAACATTGGCAGCAATTCTACCCCAGACTTTATAGTGCATTTTTGGCAACACTGGAAAAAAGGCTCTTCACAGGAGGTAGCTCCCTGGAACAACCTGCATCTTAATCCCAATGCTTCCAAATCTGGAATGCAAAGTTTAGCTTTTCCTCCCCTTTATTCCTGCTCTGTTGCAATCTCATTGCTAAGAGTCAGGCATTCATGCTGGGCATCTTCCTTCAGTATTGCCCAAATTGTTTTAAATCTGAAAACCATTTTTCACAACATTCAGAGTATGAGACTGGGATACATCACTAGTTTTGGTTAATGATTTAGTCTTTGCTATAATTTGCCTCAATTTATTCATTTTTGTCTATTTAGAAAAAAAGGAATTTTATTAATATTTTTAGGATGTCTTTTATTGATACTTTTTTCATAGTATAATTCTAAAATCTTTACTATTTTCTTACTTTTTATTCTTCATTTCAATCTGTATTGTTTTAAAGTATACTTTAATAAAATTACAATGTATAAAAAACATCCTATTATTTTTCACTTTCTGTTTATGACTCAGATTCACTGCATAACCTTCTCCATATCACTTTACCTCTGCAGGCATTATTTTTCCCAGATCTTAAGCAACCAGTTTGCATCACACAGTCTCTTAGTACCCTCCCAGTGCTAGAAGTTTATAAGATGGGAAATACTATCCCTGAATTTCTGAGAATTGCCATTGTCCTTGGTTTTGAGGCTTCCTACAGAGGGAGTGGAGGGGCAGGAAGGTGTTGGGTTCTAATCTGTAACTGAGTCATCCTGGATCCGAAAGCACACAAACTGTGAACAGCACATCTGGAATCCCCAGCCCTGGCACTTTAAGAGTCTGACCAACAAGCTCAAAGGAGCTTCAGGTTTCAGCCACTATCCTGGAAAGTTAACACATCCACCTGGCAAGACTCCCAAAATTGTAGCAAAAGGAGAGCATTTTGAAACTGAAATTCACATCTAAAAATATGTATTCTTTGAGAGTTGTGGTGAAGCTTGATCTAACAGAAATCATTCCACTGTCCATTGGCACCGATTCACTGGGACTTAATCACGGCCAATCCAACCTTATCTAAATGTGGTTTAAGATAATAGACAAGTATTTATCTCAGGAATTTCATAGACCCCAATCCAGTTTCACAGCAGCCCCATCCCGAAAGATGAGGAGTAGGCTGCCTTGCTCCTCAAAGATCTCAGCCTATTTCACTTGTCCAAAATCTGGAGCCAAACTCTATCACTAAAGGACGTAGAGCCTTCTGATTTCTTGACAGACACGATTCCCTAGAGCATGGTGTTCTTGTGGTTTGTGTGGCTTTGAAAAAGCAGAGAAAAGCAGGGAGGAAAATGGCACAATGGGAGCCAGGCTGAGAGTCAGGCAAGGCCCTGAGTGAGCTCCATGCTTCAGTGCTGTCTTCGTCACTGGTTTATTTTGAAACCTTAAGTCCTGGTAACCCTGAGATCAACTGGAGTCTCCCTGCTCCCTTAGTGTCTAGACCAAAATGAGTCAAAATCTCATTTCATGTCTTGTATGAGTCTATTGCCAATTCTCAGGGGACTTAGGCACTTTGGCTATATCTGCTTTGGGGCTTCTGCTTTGGAGGCTACCACTCAGATATGACATTCACCCTTTTTGTGAAATTTCACTAACAACTGGAATTCTCACAAAGTGCTTATGATTTAGGGGTCGGGATGAGAAGAAAAAGGATATCCCTCATGGCTGGGCTAAGGATTTCAAATTAGGGTTTTGGCATGTCCATACCAAAAATCACCATTCTGCCATTAGGGTTATCCCCTGGTCACTTCCCATAAAGTTTCCTGCCTCCCACAGTCTTTTAGACAGAGTAGGCTAAATGCTATAACAATCCACCCCCAAAACCTCAGTGGCTTAAAAGAAAGTGTTTCTCACACATATCATAGTGCAGTTGTGTGTTTAGAAGGAATTCTTATGAATCCAATCTCCTCCTCTCTAGTGGTTCCATCTCAGAGTTCTCCTTTGGAAACTCTGCATCCAAGTAGGAGAGAAGGAAACAAGTATGAGAAGTTGAGTATGGAGAACCTCGCAGGATATTTCTGGGCCAAGCCAGGGAGTGGCACGCATAATTTCTGTCCCCATATCATTGGCCATATTTAGTCACATGGCCCCACCCAACTGTAGCAGAAGCTGGGAAATGTAGTTATAAGTGATCCCAGAAAGAAAATGAAGATTTGGTGAGAACACAGCATTGTGTCTGCCCTACCATCTTTTTGGTTTCTCTTTCATGCTTCTCTCTTTCCCTCTTCTTTCTCATCCCTACCTCTCAGGGGCTCATGCAGAATAGTTTAAGCATTCTTTTGTGCTTTCATAATGCTCTTTCCCACCAAGCATGGACATGACCTCAGAATGCTACTCAATACAGCAGGCACTGCCACTAGAGTTGGCCCAAGAATTCAAATCTATTTGCCTTCTTCTAATCCAATTATCTCATTTCACAGAAAGGGGCATTGAAACCCTTAGATTTTGTTAACAGAAGAGCTTAAATTTGGATCAGTGTCTTAAGTTCAGCACCTTTTTCTACTGCATCATAATGTATCAATCCTCAGTTAGACTGTGAGCTCAACGTCAGAAGGAAGCTCCTGTTATAGTCACACCCCAACCAGCCCTGCACGTGGCACAGAGAATGACATTTGTCAGGAGACAGACTGGATACTCCATAAGTGTTGAGTGAAGCAATGTTCTCAACAGGAGAACAGTTCTACTTTGGTGGCCATGAAATGCCTCCCGAGGCAATACAATTTTATTTACCTTGGTTTAATTGAAGCCAGTTGGAAACAATACAGCATCTTTTGATCCAATTAAAAACGTTGCCCATAAACTGTGAAAGTTTTCATGGCCTTCTTCAGACCAGAGCACTATTTTATAGCCAAGTTTCTGCACACATTTTTTCAAAGGAGATGTTATCGTGGAAAATGTGACAACAACAGAACTCCAGGGGCGTGAACATGCTGTTGTAATTGCTCCTCCAGACACAATGAAATCAACCCAAGTTAATTATTTATCAAAACCAACCCACTCTCTGGAAACATCTTTGATTTGGCAGATTGTTTTTCCTTTCTCCAGAAAATAGGTCAATAGTTTTTTTCCTCCCACGTCTCTTTATCACAGTATCTGATTTTTAGAACCAGCTATTTCAAGTGTTGAGACGTTCGCCAAGAACCCAGGTGGGCTGGCAAGATTGCAGCAAGAGTCCTCAGGTTCCTGGTTCCTGGATTCTTCCTGTTTCGGCATGCCTCTTCAATGAGAGTGGTCCTGAAAAAGGAGAAAGAAACCAAGGATTGTTTAAGTATCTACTATATGTCAGTCCCCGTAAGAGGCACAAGATTACATTGTTTTGCTTAATATCATGAGACACTTGTGAGTGTGTACATTTTACTGACAATGGAATTAGGCTTAATGAGGTTAAATAATTTCACACACCATTCACATCTGTCTCACTCCATGTGCATAGCCTCACCTGTCTGAAAAGGAGGAGTAAGAACTATTTAAACAAATTTGCTATTGAACCAAGAATTGACTCTAGTGATTTAAGAAAGCCTATGGGGCCAGCAATGGCATTGGATACACCAAATGAGCTCATCTGCATTAATTTGGCATCTTTGACACCATTGCCCCACTTTCCCCCTACAGACTTCCCATATGCTCATGGTGTATTCCTTACCTTTGTCCCTGTGCAGATGCAGAGTAGCCTGTTTGAATAAGATGCAACAAAACAAAGGGGAGAAAGGTAGGAAGAAAAGCAAGAAGGAGATACTGGGGAAGAAAAGAGGAAGACAGTGTTGTAACTTGGGACTTTCTAGATTTTTACGATTTTGCAGTGAGCAGCTTGGTTCCATAGCTGAAGCATGGAACGAGGGGTAAGGAGATTTGGGTATGAGGCTATCTCTGCTACTCTTTGCTGTTTTAGCTCAGGAAAACTTTCTGTCTGGGCCTCAACTTTCCGATCTGGACATAGTCAGTATGAACTCCTTCACAACTCTTGGGGCTAGGTCTCTTTATACGTCTTTCATTTCTTCAAAGTCCATTTCAAAGAGTCTAATTTACTTCTAGCCACTAGATAGATAATACATCCAGCATCACACTCTTGAGCACTCTACCCTCCAATTTTCCAAGAATCTTGAAGGTTTGAAAAGTCAAAAAGGGATCCACAGGATCTGCTTCTGAGCAAGAGCTCTGATGTCTGCTGTCAGGGGCATATCTGGCTGGCAAAGCTTTTCCCTGCCACAAGGTGCCGCTGTAGAGCACTGGCCCACTTCCCTGCTGCTGGCACTGCTAGCGCATGCAGAACAATGCCTGGCTTGTCTCAGTCTCCAGCGTGGGCCAATATGACCCTCTGAGGGAGGGTGAACCCTGTGTGACTCCACTCATACAGGGCCACTCTTGACCCAGGGAGCTGCTCCTCACTGACGCCTATAAGTAGTGACTCTTCAAGCCCACTCTGCAGTCGCACATAGCCACTCCCACCTTATTCCTCCCCCGCCCCCAAGATGGTTTCCCCGTGAATGATTCATAATACTTGAACGTATCAAGTTTTCCTTTTTATCTCAAAGCACGAATAAGCATTGCTAAAGATTCCTGGGCCCTTTTTGCATAAATTCATTATATCTAAGGTAGAGTTTGGATGTGTATTTTAATATATATCGTATATGATTCTGGTACGACATGTGTTGGACCCCAAATTGGAGAGATGGTTCTTTAAAAATGAAAAAAAAAAAAGCCTATTTACGCTCAGAATTTGTGGGTAGGGGGTAATATCTTCCATGAGTTCTAAACCATCTATGTTCTAACCCATCCCTTGCCTAGCATGCAGAGAAGCTCTCTTGTCACTTTCTTGTTAAGCAGCAAGAGTCAAAACAAAAATGTGTGCATTACTGGGTCACTTACCAATCTGGGACACCAAATTTCCACGCAAAGGTTGACCTGGAAGTTCTTTCTGAAACGCCTTCTGCCCTTTTAAGAACAGAGTCTCACTTATTGCCAAGAGTATGGGAGACCTCTCATAATGAGTTACTCCCAAGCTCAGGACTGTGATGAGAACTCATGCAAGGAAAAAGCCGGGTGCGGTGGCTCACACCTGTAATCCTAGCACTATGGGAGGCCAAGGCGGGCGGATTGCCCAAGGTCAGGAGTTTGAAACCAGCCTGAGCAAGAGCAAGACCCCGTTTCTACTATACATGGAAAGAAATTAATTGGCCAACTAACATATATAGAAAAACTTAGCCAGGCATGGTGGCGCATGCCTGTAGTCCCAGCTACTCGGGAGGCTGAGGCAGCAGGATCACTTGAGCCCAGGAGTTTGAGGTTGCTGTGAGCTAGGCTGATGCCATGGTACTCACTCTAGCCTGGGCAACAAAGTGAGACTCTGTCTCAAGAACAAAAAAAAAAAAAAAAAAAAAGGCAGAATAAATTCATTTGTCAAGGACAACATAAAACTTTAACAAGAGAAAAATAAACCTTTTCCCCTCACCTTTTACAGTTTTTGTATGACTATAGCTAGTGTCACAGAGCAATTAGTGCTCCCCAAATATTCCCAGTCTTTTCTTACATTTCCCAGCATCTCTCGTAGTTAGGCTTGGGCCACGTAGCTAGTGACCATGTGTGTCACTTCCGGCTCAAGGCATTTAAAATCCTGTGTACCTTCTCCATCTCTCTCTCCCATCTCTGCAGGATGCTTGGAGACCTTGCATTCCAGGCTGTGCAGTTAGTTACAAGATAGTGGGGTCTTTGTCAGCTTGGATCCCTGAGGGACTACATGATGTAAAGACCTCTGCTACCTGGTGTTGCTGTTGTAAAAATAATAAAATATAAGCTTTTATGTTATTAAGCCATTGAGATTCCGGAGTTAATTTGTTGCTGTGGCATACCCTAGTCTATCCTAACTGATATAGCTAGAGTTGTAGAAAAAGTACTAAAATTAATCAATTTAGTAAATCAATAGAGTTAAAAAAATGTTATGGGGCCAAAGGCTCCATGTTTCTATTCAATCTTAGAAATTGTCAGTATGTGGCAGATCTTATTGATCTGTGGCCACCAATCTTTCATTGCTTAGCATGAAGGGTGAGGAAGAGAACTACTATTTATCGAATTCCTGTACGCTAGGTGCATTACATAACTTACTGTGCTTACTCCTCTCAATATCCTGTGGGTTAGGTCTTATTACTGGTTTATACGTGAGAAAGGAAGTGTTTGTTGGTCACACATCACTAGGTAAATGGTAGAGCCAGGATTTGAAGACAGAAGGGTCTGATGTCCAAGCTCTCTTTGTTATATTATGCTGCCTTTCCATGTGCAGCCATAATTCTGGAAAAGCAGAACTCCAAATTAGGACTAGCTACTAATGACTATGAGGTGGGGGGTGAATGGCTCAAGTTCTCTTCATTTTTCTGCCTGGAGTTTGCAAAAGCCACTCCCAGACAAGTTTCTGTACATCTGGCCTCTCCTTTTGAGACACAGGCTACCTACAAGATAATTCTAAAAACCAAATATGATCTTGTTGTCCCAGGCTGAAAAACCTCTGGCAGCTCTCCTTTGCCTGCAAGTTCAAGTCAAACTCCTTAGCTTGACATACAAAGCCTTTCTTAGCATCCTTCTGCTGCTGCTGCTGCTGCTGCTGCTGCTGCTGCTGCTGCTGCTGCTGCTGCTGCTGCTGCCCTGGGGAACTGGTTTCTGTAGTCATCCAAACTCGGTGTGTTCCCCAGGCACAGGCAGTGTGCTCCTTCATCTCCACATCTTCACTCAAGCTCTTCTCTCTGCTACAAATATACCTTCTCCTCAATACTACCATTTTTTCTCCTTATTTGTCAAGATCCCACTCAAATGACAATTTTTTCTTTCAAACTTTCCCCAGTAGAATCAATAGTCACTTCGTCACTTCTGCTTGGCATAGTGTTGTGTATAAGTTCTTGGTCTGAGTGCTGGTCCTCCTCTTGCAGGCTGTGTTACCTTGGGCCACTGACCTATTTGATCTTTAGTTTTCTCATCTGTTAAATTGAAATAAATAATAGTGCTGAGCTATAGGTTTATGTCAGTGGATGAAATACAATAAATAATACACTTCAAATGCTCACTGTGGCGCTGGTGGACAGTAAGGGTTAAATAAATATATCTATTTATTATTTTATTTATTCTTATATCTCCCAGCCCTAGCACCATGCGTGACCCACAATAGGTCCCCAGTATACATTTGTTAAATGAATAAATGACTGAATGAATAGGTTAATTCATCCAAGTAACTGAGTAGAGAGAGATCTACTAACTAGTTACACAGAGATCTCCCAAAAAACTTAGTATCAAATAGGAAAATCACTGCTTTGTTATTATTTGTGTGTGTGTACATGCATATGCACACTTCAACTCTTCAGTAAAACCCAGGCAGCAACTTGTATTTAATTTCAAAGTGAGAATTGCTTAGATGAGCTGAGAATTTTCTTCCTCAAATCCTAGAGCTGAAGATTTTGTTTCTCAAATGCAAAGCCAGGAATACCTAGATCTTGCAAAACTTCTCCTGGATTCATCCCTAACTGGTAGCTGTTTGGTGGAGTCAGGAATCAGTAGAACATGGACCCCTGTCCATGGTGTAATGTAGTGGTACTATGTGTTTAGTGGCATCTAGATGGCCAACCAAACACATCCCAATTCCCAGAGATAATCTAGAACCTGCTCAGCATTTCAAGAAAGGACAAAAACATCCCTCTCTTGAGAAATCATTCTTTCTTCCTGCAGTCCACATAATTTAGCAGGACCACAAAGATGATGAGATGAGATCAGATGAGAGAGATGACAGGATGAGTTGAGATGAGATGAAAAGAGGCTGTGTGTGTATTGGACCGCTCATCATTTCTAAAGAGCTTTCCCTTGTGCATCACTGCTGCCTCTTTCTTACCTTGTGTGTTTCTAGGACTCATTTTTGGTTGCTAGACTTCTTTCTCAGGCTCCTTTCTCCCAACAGTGAAGTCAGACACATTTCCTCAACTTTCCTTACATTCCTTTCTCTTATTTCTGGTGTAATCTATCTATGGCAAGCAATCTTTTGTGTGTCCCTGTATCAGGGATTCTTGCAATTGCAAGTAACATCATTTAAAAAACAAAACAACTTAATGCATTGTATGTCACTTAATGGAAAAAAAAAAAGCCCCAAGATATGGCGAACAGCCATGCAGTTCCTCTGCGGTCCTCCAAGTTTTGCCCTATTCTTGGTGCAGACTTTGCTCTCAGGTTGGCTTCCTTCAAGGTTTCAAGAGGCCAGCCAGCAGCAGTTGGGGCCACGTGCCTCCTGGTTCACATCCAGAAGGGAGAGAGGGAATCCCAGGAGCATCAATTTGAAGAGCTTCACTGCACCCCACTAGGGCCCTGGGAGAATCATCAGGTCTCTTTGGCTTGAGCCTGGGTTACCAAAACCAAATTGTTACAAAGTCTGGAGGAGGGAGTACACTGACTTATTTACGTCATTCGGGGTGTAAATCAGGCCACAGGGCTGGGTGGTGGGTCAGTCTCCCCTGAATTGCAAGGCTGACATACCATGGAGGGAGACTGGATGGAGGCCAGAGACCCAGCCACAAGGCCCACCACACTGCTCGTGTCTTCCCTTACTCTCTCAATCCCATCTATTTGCTATGCTCTAGTTCAAATGAATTCCCACACTCATTTTTTTCTGATTTATTTTGTTTATATTATAAGAAAAATACATGTTTATTGAGATTGAAGAGAAAAGCAAAAAAAAAAAAATAACAAAAACATAGAATGATCCAGAATTGTCCCCTAAGCAGAAGAAACACCAACATTTTGGCATGCGCGCTAAATGGGTCTCTTCTGCTATGCCTTTTTTTATTTTGTTCAGAGTTGTAGTCACACTTCCTGCACAGGTTTAATTTAACATGATGATGTTACGATTTCTTCAGGCTGCTGGAAAGATTCTAAAGGCTGCATATTCCAGCACACAGGGGAACCCTGGTTTACTTAAACTTTCCTCTGTGGTGTTACGACAGACTCTCCTAATTATTCATTTTGGTAAATACTTTCACAAACATCTTTGAATTCTAGTTTTTTTTCTTATGACAAATTCCCAGATATCCATTCCCATATTATTTTCCAAAATGAGTATGTCATTGTAAACTCCTTCCTGCAGTGTAAGAGGGTAGCTCTTTCTCTATCCTTACACCTGCACCACACGTTGTTTTTAATCTTTGCTAATTTTGGTAGGAAAAAAGTTGGGGGAGGGAGCATCTGGTTCCTGTTTTAATCTGTATTGCTCTGATTAGTATAGCAGAGACTTGGTGAAAATGTTTATTAATCATATATTTCTTCCTTTTTATGCACATTTATATCCTCTCCTTATTATCTGTTGAGAACTTAGTATTTTTCTTATCAATTTTTATAAAATCTTCATACAATAAGGATATTAATCCTTTGACATTTGTACCAATTTTCCCCATTTTTCCACTTTAATTTGTTTATCTTAATTTTTCACATACAGACGTATTATATTTTTATGTATTCAAATATGTCAATTTTTCCCTTCAGTACTTGTATTGGTTTTAAGATTACAAAGCCATTCCTAATTCAAATATTTAATCAAAATTTTTAATTTTATTTTTTCTCTCATTTCTGTGGTTTGAACTGTTTACATTAACTCCTAATCCTACGTACTTCAAGTGTCCTTCATTGATGAGGTCTTTAAGGATTTCTCAGGGAATCCCAATGAACAATACAAATCTGTCCTTTATAAATAAAGAGGTTGGCTGACCCATTAAATCATCTGCTTTGAGAAATCTCTTCTCCTAGATGGGCAGTTTGGAAGAGACAAGCTAGCCTTTGAGATGAAGGAAGGACTGGTTTGTGAGCCCTGACATTGGTTCCTGTGCTCAATTTCCCCATTTGTAAAATAGGGACATTTGACCAGATTGTCTTTACTGTATGTTTCAACTCTGAATTTTATGGTTCCAGAAAATCCTTTTTCATTTCCCTGCATGTCCTCTGGTTTATTCTTTCCCTCATTCCTTTTCCCACTCCTAGGATGACTTCCATGGAAACCAAAATCAGACATGCCTTTCATGGTCCGTGGCCTCCAGTTTCTATACTCCCTCCTGTTCAAAACCAACCTCTGCTAAGGGAAACATCCATAGGCTGTTATTAGTGCCAGGTGGCCAGCGATTGGCTTGGAGGGGGACTTTCCATTCCAGGTGGCTTGTCCATTGGCCAGCCAGTACCCCATGAGGCTGTCATAAGGTCATTCCATCCAATTGGAACAATAGTCATTAGCTAAGCCAGTTGACACTGACTCCCTCCACAACTCCGGACTGCAGCACACAGACACAATTATCCCCTTGACCTTGAGGCCTCACTGGAGCAGACAGAAGCAGAGATGCTATGAACACAGGACCTCACAGCCTATGAGGAAGACCAGGAGAGTAGTGGATCCACAGGGCCATCTTGGTTTGAAGGATAAGCAAATTCCACTTGTGGTCTACATGCATCCTTATGATAAACCTCTCGTCTTAAGATGGTTTCTATTTCTTACCAATAATCTGAGTAAACCTTCCCAGAAGGTTTCCTTCCCACTCTTATTCACGTCCTTTCATTAGTCTGTCTGGGCACAGGCTCAGCTGTTGCTTCATTTCACCATCAACCAGAAGACAGCAATCATCTGGGGCAGCGAGATGACTTATGGGCTGTAAGGAAGTTGTAAGACTGAGAATGTACACACGCACACACATGCACACAGCGTCCCTCCCACCTCTGGTCTGACACTTCATGTATACTCAAAACACGTTTGCAACCTCAGCTGATCTCAGGGAGATCTATAAGTTGGAAGGATGCACTTAATTGTGGAAAGGTAGGCCTCTTTGCCCTCTCCCACCAGCCTTCCTGAGAATTGTTCTAGAGAAACATTATCTTTGTGCCCAGAGCTGGCCCCAGGCAAAACTGGGAAGTGGGAGAAGTTTGCATTTGGCTCTCCCTACACCTCCCCAGCCTGCTCCCTCCTGCAGACTGCCAGCTGCGCCCCTGACCTGGATCTTCCCAGCCCACTGTGTCTCCATTAGAAAACTGCCCTGTGCTGTCTTCTACCTCCTCAGGGCTCCGCTCTTGGCTCGAAAAAAATGCCAGTGGGTTTTTCTCAACAGGAGTCTTCTAAGAGTCAAAGCCTTAACCCCAAAATATTGTCAAGTTGCAAAGGTTACTTTGAACGGTGAGAATCCTGTCTGTTTAAAGAAACCCACAAACACACAAAGCCAGCTTCCTACCCACATGCACCTGAAGCCTTGCTCTGGCCTGCCCCGTGCTCCTTTCTGGCTTTTTTCTGTTTCTGTCTCCCCAGGAGTCCCCTGCCCCCATCCCCCATGTAAAGCTCTGCCTTTCCCTTTGGCCCCAGCTCTCAGGGCTGCAGTCCTGCAGGTGGCCGCCCTCCCCTCCGCCTTCTGGGGCTCTGGCCAGGTCCTGCCACAATATCTGGACTGAAATGGCTCTAAGGCAGGAATCTCAGATCTTCAGGCAGCCTCCTGGAAAAGCACTCACATCTTACCATCCAGAGGATAGAGTGTGTCCAGGCCTCAGTCTCCTTACTTGTGAAATACTGACAAAAGGAGTCACGTCATAGGTTCATATGAGGTTACCGTTAAGCGCTTAACACATGTAAGAGATGTGGACACTGCCTGGCACGTAGTATGTGCTCTGAATCTTGGCCAGTGGTCACAGCAGTTGAATTACACACAGTGATATTAGCACATGTGTTGGATCCTCGGGGCCAGGCCCTGTAAGTCAACTGTGGCAGGGGGCTGCCTAGGCCAGGTGGGGGCAGCAGAGAGCTGTCTGAGGTCAATCTGGGACCAGTAGGGCCACCTGGAGTCCACAGTGGAGGGTGAAGGACTGGACCCGAGGCCAGTCACCAGGAAGAGCATGGCCAGATGAGAAATAAGAGTTTGAGAGCAGCAATTTCAACAGCCTCCCTTCTAGTCTCCCTGCCTCCTGCCTCACCTCTCCCAACTTCCCATTCACCCTGTGCTTGAGTGATCTTTCCAAATTGCAATTCCAGTGTGGCCACTCCCTTGATGAAAACATGGATGACTCCTTAGTACAGGGGGGAGCACCAATATCCTTAAGCTGATATCCAAGGCTCTCTAAGAACTAATCACCACCTCCTTATATGCTACCCTAGATGCCTCCACACCTCACCTTCCTCCACTGGCAAACATGCCTCCAGTTTTCTTGTCTTTACTAAAGACATTTCTTGCCTTTTTTTCCTGCATATCAAAATTTAACCCTCTTTCCACATTTAGCTCAAATGCTCTCTTTGTCATGAAGTCTTCCTGGATTATGCCAGTACCTAACTAAAACACATCTCTCTTTGGATCTCCCTAAATCCTTTAAATCTGCTTTCCCAGTGATATCTGATACTGTCAGCATTCTTCTAGAATGATAAATGATTACATCTCACCTTGCCTGATGCAGGGAGCTCTCAAAGTCTGTCTCCTCTTCTGCAAAAATGGGGGTAACGACAGCTTCCTCATAGTATGTAGAAGAATGCAAGGAGATAATGCATGAAATGTACCCACAGGTGCTGGCACATGGGAAGCGCTCAGGAAATGTTACAGGGGTTTCATCCTTGTCATAATCACGAGGTCATCATCGTTGTCATAGCCATCATTATCATTACAATTAGAGGGATTCTGCCCCTCAGTGGTCAAAGGTTTGCAGGCTTAAGTCCTTAGCCTGTCCCTAAGACAAATTGTGGTTTAAAAAGAGAGAAAAAAAAAACCAAAAAAACTAAAGATTGCTAGTCTGGGGTAGAATTCGGATCCCAGTGCTGAAGTGAGGCCTCCCAGAGCCACAGAGCCATGGAGAAGCGGGAAGGTCTCCTGCTGAGGCAAAGTGAGAGCAGGTAAAAGAACAAACTAGTACAGTAACAAGAAAAGAAACTTTTTTTTGTTGTTTAGAAAGATAGTGATGTTTTCAATAAAAATTTCAACCCGGAAATTAAAATTTAAACAACGTAAGTGCCTCCGAGGATGGAGCAGCAGCGAGCAGTCCCTTAATGGTATTATGCACGGCCTTTATTTTTTAATGTAGAGAAGGAAAGGATTTGTCATTAAAGTTTAAAAATAATCAGAATCAAAATCCCTTTTGTTCCTGCGGGCTGGCAGAGCTGAGGGGCTGATTGTGTGTGCTGAGTGGGTGTCCAGGAAACAGTAGTCATTTGTGTGCGTGTGACAGGAGTCGAGTCCAAATCTAAATTTAAGCAAGTGTTGGCCTTCTTGGAACCCATAATTTTTGGATCAATTATCCCGGACTAAGTGTCTGAGTTTCTTGCTCTCTCTCTCTCTCTTTCTCTCTCTCTCTCTCTCTCTCTCTCTGCTGCATTTAATAATTACAACACTTGAGCCAATAATTTGCCGACCAGCTGCGGTGGCCTTACTGTCTGGTTCACTCATAATTTCTGGAACTTGATACAATCATGGCCTTTGAGCCAATTAGGGTAATATTTGGAGTGTTGGAAGTCTGTTCCCCACCCTCCCACCACCTCGCCAATGTGAGAAACAAACAGCCCGTGTCTACCCTACAAGAGAAATAACGTGTTCTCAGATCCTACCCAGCCCTCATACCCATCTATTTTGTCTGTCCTACTCCTTCTCACAGTTTGAGAAAGAAATGCAGACTGATGGCCTGAAAAGAACCTGGTCTGAGAGTCAGAATGCCTAGCCCTGCCCCTAAACTAGGTATATGGCCTTGGATTAATGTCCTACCCCCTCTGGGTCTCAGTTTTCTGTAACATGTGGCAATAGTGATTCAGGGGAGAGAGGCTGTAGCCAGACTACTTGGCTTCAAATCCTGCCTCTATCACCTTTCAGCTGCACAACATTGGGCAAATTACTTCACCTCTCTGGCCCTTAATTTTCTCATCTGCAAAATGGGCATAATTATAATATTAAATATAACATAGAGTTTGTAAAGATTTAATACAAATAGAACCAAAAACGCATATATTCTAGAGTTTAAACTCCTTAAGGGCATGGATTATTTTCTGTTTTGTATACTACTATCTCCCCAGGACCTAGAATAATGTCAATAATTTTCCTTAGATAAATGAATGAATGAATGAGGGAACCCATTTATATTTATTTGTTCACTGTTTGCTTCCAGCTTATTTCCAAAGCTGAGTTTTCATGGTTCACAATAAAATTATGTTTACCACAAACTTATGACAATGAAGCTAGAACATCAAAGCCCAAAATAAGGAAGTAGCAAGCAAAGGTCAGCTGTCCTTTTACTCAGAGCTTCCTGGCTACCAAAGCTAAACTAAGCAGCCTCTGAGAATCCTTCCAAGTCTAACATTCCAGGATTCTGAGTTTGGGAATCAAAACAAATGTTTCTAACTTTCAGTGTAACTTTTGACAACTCTCCAATCCTATCCCAACTCTCAGTTTTCCCATCTGTAAAATGTGGAGACTTGACCAAAAGAGCTCAGACCCATTTTTGGAATCTAGGCTTTCTTTTAGATAATGGCCATGAGCATATAAAGATAAAAGAGATTTGATCTCTCCCATCAAGGAGTTTACAGTCCTCCAGGGGAAACTAAGGCACACACACGCATAACTCTCTAATTCAAGCTATAAAATTGTACTTAACTAAGAATATTACCAAAGGCTAAAGGAATAGTAAAGAAAGAAAAATATGCCCATTTAGGAAGATTTGATAATAGCTTCATAGAAAAAGTGCAGTTTGCATTTTTCATGAAGAATATTAACAGATATTCACAAGGAAAGAATTCTTAACAAATGGGAAGAAGGTGGGAAAAGGCACAGAGGTATAAAATTGTAGTCTATCCCTTAAAGCCAGCATGCTGGGAGGAGAAAGTGATGGCAGGTGTGTGTGCTACCACCTCCTTACCTTTGCCTATGGCCGAACTCACTAATCAATCACAGAGCTTTATCCTGCTGAGTCAGAATGTGGCCTCAGAATCCTTCTCAACACAGTGTTCCAAGAAGCTACTGCCAGGTGCTCAGAGTTGGTATATACAATGAAACATATTTTCCCTCTTGATTTAAGGTATGTGTATGCAAGTCAACAGTAGAAAATAAGCCTGGAAAATAAACCCAGACCAAAATGCAGAGGGAATTGAATGTCAAGATCAAGAATATGAATAATCAAAACATTTGCTTGTTCCTCCACATTCAGCTGCTCCTTACATTGGTATGATCACCATGGAGTTTGTGGGCAACAGACCTTATTGTAATAGATGTACACTGAGCCCTCAGGAACTGAACCCATCCCTGCCGAGGCTTTCCGCGAATTCATCTGGGGCATAATCCGCCTCCCAGGCTGCACAGTGCCTGGTTTGTGCTTAAACAAGGCACGCACTGTAACACTGTTCTCACATCACGCTGCGGGAAGGAAAACAGTGTTGGGGACCCGTGCCAAAGTTTTCAAAAGGGCTGCCCTAAAAGGTAAATGTGGCCTCTGTACATTCTTGGAGCAATGCTAGTTATCATCTCTGTGGTACCAGGGCCGGCACAATTATCCCATTACTATCCAATGGCTGTTCCTGATGAATGTGTCCCTGTGACGGTGCCATTTAACCTTAGTCCAGGAAAAGGAAAATCTATCGAAAGGAACGTGAAATAGAATTCCATGAGCTCATGTCTAGCGGGGAAAGCAAAAGGCATCTGAAGGCTGTTGGGAAGTGAATCACATTGTTTCTCGGCTCCAAGTGTAGCCCCTTTCCTCCTGCCCTCCTTCGGCGGACTCTCAGCAGAAAGCTGAGGGAACCCAGGTCAGGGAGTAGCCAAGACTTTAGCTCCAGGTCTGTGTGTCCTGGGGTAAGTCACTCTTTATATCCGAGTTTGTTTAAACCACATATCCTTACAAAATGGCTTCCCAGTGGTTCACCCAAACGCTTTTAACACAACAGAAAATTAAAATAAAAGATGCGCACATATTAAGAAGACCAGATGAAGGGAACATAGAAATCAGTATTATAAAATGAAGCCTGGGGTAAGGCAAGCCACTTAATATTTCTGAGCCTCAGTTTCCACATCATAAAAGAAAGGAATAATAATACCTTATTTATAAGATTGTTGGGAAGACAAATGGAAATACTCCAAAAGAAAAAAGGAAAAAAATTGGATTTTAATGGGAAGACTACTGAACCCGTTGTGGGAGACTCAGGTCTGGTCAAGCTCTGCTTCTGAACTGGTGCTCTCTGAGGCCTCTCCCAGCTTGAACGGTCTCTCATTCTATGAAGTGGGGTGTCTAAGAGGGGTGGGGGGCCAGAAGAGAAGCAGAAAGGGGTGAAGAGAAATGCAATGTCTCCATCTCATTAACAAAAGTATTATTAATTGTGTCTTTGGAATATTATTTCTCATGACCGTATGGGTAACAATGATTGATTTTGCAAATATCATTTGAGTATCTGTTTTGTGCCTGGTCCAGGGGAGAAACATTCATGCAGATGTCCTAGCCCCTGCTCAGCCATGCCTAGTTGGAGGGAGTGGGAAGGGACTGGTCCAGATGATTATAATGCAAAGCTTCTTGAGCCCAAAGAAGGGTGCGAATAGACCAAGCCAGGTGAAAAGGAAGAGAAGGAGCCTGCCCTGCAGATAAAGGAAGATCTCCTGGAAGAAGAAGATACTGGGTCTAGTCTTGAGAAGATTTCTGTAGAGGAGGATATTTCAGGTGGAAGGGACCAGGCAGGTCAAAGTGGAAGGATTGAAAAGCATATGGGGGTTATGAGAAAAGCAAACATTTAATTGGGTTTTCATGGGCCCTCAATCGATTTTCCTTCTTTGGGTAGCAGCACCTAAATTCACCACTCTCCCCACTCTCAGTCCACCTGGTTTGGATAAGACTGATCCCAACACCATCTAGCTCCAAGAGAAACATGATCCTAGCCCAGCCAATTAGGGTATTTCATTTTCCTTGCCACATGATTGGTTTAAGGATGGCCATGTACCTCAAGTAGATCAAATGAGACTCACATTGAGACTTTTGCTGGATCTAATGCAAAAGAGAAGCTCTTTCTACTGGACTTGCTGAGCTCATGGAATGTTAGCTAAGATCTGTTAGTGTGAGTGGATGTCTTGACATGAAATAAATCACCCTGAGAAGGAAGGTAACACAAATATAAGTAGTTCTGAAAAATAAAACAAGGCAAATTCTCAGCATCATTTGAGCACCTACATCCATCCAGCTGTAACTGGAGGCAAAGCCTCCTGACATTTTTTAGTTTTAAGAGCCAATAACAAATTGCCTTTTTATTTTTTAAGCCAGTTTTATTTCAGTATCTGTCACTCACATCTCAAAGAATCCTGTATAACATAAGGCCCCTGATTCAGACGATCTGTGGACGTGAGCCATGGTGGACAGCACTGCCACTGTGGCCTTTGAGCAAGGGAGCTTTCGGGATGAAGCCTAACCTGTCAATGAACAAGACAGCCCAAACTGGGGGTACAAGAGTGAATCTGGGAGTAGAATAAAGATTTCTTAGTCTGGGCCTGGTGGCTCACACCTGTAATCCTAGCACTTCGGGAGGCCGAGGAGGGAGAATAGCTTTAGGCCAGGAGTTTCTGAGACCAGCCTAC